GGGGGGGGGCAGAGCACGGAGGAATGAGCAGGCACGCGCCCAGAAGGCCACCTAGGCCTTTTGGAGAAGGGGCTGGACAGGAGCAAGGCCGGGGCAGGGGGAGGAATAGGAAGCTGTTGGGGGGATTCGCAGAGGGCCACGGGCCGTGCAGATCCGAGCCCCGGGATCAAGATTTTAGGGGGAGAAGAACCTGGATCCCAAGAGAAGGCAGTCTGAGGGGAGGGGTGTTAAAAGCCTGCCCAGTTCAAGACTGATGCTGCCGTTCTCCAGCAAGGCAACCGAGGGCACGTTTCTCCACCTCTCCGAGCCTCAGTTTCTTCATCTGTAAAGCAGGGACAATGATCGGTGTATCCTAAAGGCAACCCAAAGAAGGGGGCTGGTACTAAGTCCTAAGTAAACCGTAGCCATCGTTCGTCTATAGTTTAGGTTGTTTTGCAGGAAAGAGCCTTTTGGGGGGCATCAAAAGTCTTGGGTTATTGTCCTAGTCCTCCCCCCCAAGCAGGGTGGATGTGCAGGGGCAGCTCCCTGGGGCTTCTGGGTCACTGTCCACACTGGACTCAGAGTGGAATAGATAGGATGTTGGGTGAGCCGGAGCTGGTGACCCACCGGGAGGGGCTGTGAGAGGGTCGGTCCAGCCGGCACGTGGGCCTGCACCGGACAAGCAGGCCCCTAGGTCCTCGGGGCCTCCCCGGATTCACTGTAGGGATTTCTTTATCTGCGGTGGAATGTGCTGGCAGTCAGGGAAGAATGTTTCTCACACTCTGACATTGGCAATCCCTTAACGGGCATGGAGCGCACACACCGACCCCCGAGCTTAAGCAAATTTTAAGAGAACCTTGTGTTTCTAACATGATACAAGTGCAACTCGGGGGAAGTCGTACCAAAGGTAATTGTTTTGTATCAGGAGAGAGGGGGGTACCTTCTGAAAATCTGCACCGGTGGTATCTTTGCCCTGTGACCATAGGACGCCACGAGGGTTTTCGCATCCTGTCAGCTTCTTTTCTTACTCCTTATCTGTGCTAAGTTAGAAAATCCCAAACCACAATGACAGGTCATTAGAAATGGCAGCAAACGTTTGGTGGCTGTCAGACGGTTGTGGCTTCAGACCAAACAAGAATCCAGAAATCACAGAGCTGTCTCTCCCTGCAGGCTATTTTCCACTCTTCTGGACACTAGGTCAACAGGTACAAAGCTTCCGAAAGTTAGAAGACTGACTATTTCTCCTTGGGAGAGAGTGCATGTGGCAAACGAGGTATTTAATCCTCTCTTTGGTTGAATTCTTTAGGTTCTGATGTAATATTTGGATGTGGGTTTACATTAATCTTAATAACATGTCAATGATTCCGTTCCCGTGCTCAGAAACAAAAAATCGCCAAGTGTTGAGAACCAGACTCCATGGAGGAGCAGTCACAAGGCAGTTTGGTTTGAAGAAACTGAGCTAAGACACTTCAGAGCCTAGAAGTGGTCTTACGTGGCACTATCAATGACACAAAATGATTTTAAGTCATCATTCTTTTTCACAACTTGTGGGAACCTTTTTCTCCAAAGCTAGCCTACTTCAGGGTGGAAGAGAGGTGTCTAGGGGTGGAGAGGTGATTCTTCCCCATTGGTTTGTCCAGAGATACAGGCTCCTTCTATGTTCTTGTTCCGCTACCCTTGGGTCTTGCCCTCACTGGCATGCTCCAAGGTGGCTCGCCAGTGACTTGAGATTCCAAGCAGGAGTTGAAGGAAAATGGAGTGGGAAGGCACGCCCACTCCCTCTAAAGACCTGCAAGTCCCCCTTCAGCTCACGTCCCATTGGCCAGAACACTGTCACATGACTGCATCTAGCTGAAAAGGAGGATGGGAAGTGTAGTTTTTGTTCTGAGTGGTCATGTAGCCTGCTAAAAAATTGACGGAGAATGGGGACAAGGAATATTGGGGGGGGGGG